TAAAAAAAAAAGTATTGTTTCATCCCAAAATAGTTAAATTTAACACAACAACCCACAAGTTTAAGAAGTAAACTCTCAAACTATTTTTTTTTGTCGATATTTCCTTTTGAAAACATATAATTTTTGAAGTTTTTCTTCAGATGAAGTGGATACTAACATGTCGGACCACGACTGCAACTTAACTGCTCTCCATAAGGCATGTGAAGACAGTGACATCGAAGACATTGCGGTCAACGAAAGTTCTTCAAAAAAAGGCAAGATTAACCCGGATCACACACCGACAAAAAGCCCAAACCCAAAGAAAATGATGGGGAAAATCAACACTAAGGATGAGGGAACCATTGGCACCACTATTCTCCATGCTGTTCAAGCTCTGACTGAGAAAATGGATGAACAGACTGAACTATTGAAAAGATCTGACAAACGCATCGAAGCTAACACTACGGCCACAAAAGAAAACAAACAAGAAATTCTTCTGCTGAAAAAAAGATTGACAAGCTCCAAAGAGAAAACAGCATTTTAAAAAGCGCAACTGAGGAACAGGCTCGATACAAAAGGAGATGGAACTTGAGACTGACGGGGTTACCGGAAAAAGAGGGAGAAAACATCATCGGGATACTTACAAGGGTTGTTCCTCTCTCAGTGGACCGGCTCCGAGATACTGTGGATACTGTACCAACACGCCGAGGGCGATCATCATTCAGTTCGGGATGAGAACCATCAGGGATGAAGTGTGGAAAAAAATTGAAGGAAGTGCGAGTGTGTGGTGAGATGCATATTCGCTTCAGAGAAGACTTCTCTAAGGAAGATTGGGACGCCCGTTCCAAGCTGTGGCCACTGGTCCAGGAGGCCAGGAAGAAAGGGAAGACAGCGTTCCTGAAGGAAGGCTACACTCTGATAGACAACCGTCGTGTGGATCCTATTTGAGCATCCTTTTTGTCACGCTGGTCTGTAACCGGTACCGTGACATAGTTTGACAGTTCTATGAATGTTGAAATACCTTAAGGGCTGTTGCAAATGTTAAATGATAAATTTTGTTAGGGATTTCAGCTACTCATTCCTGTGCGTCATTTTCTCAGTACACGTGTCCCTCCTGTCCCATCCACCTCCTCACAGCCAGAGCCAGCGGCCGGTCCTGCAACCCAGTCAGGTACAGTTTGTGTTGACTAGAAGTACGTAACACATTGACGGGGTTCCAGCATTTTCTTAAAATTATTACATTACATTTTACTTTTAAAATGTAATTTTTTTTCCATAAATAGTTTGAAAATGTTATTTTAAAAAACTGTATTTATTCACTCTTTTTCTGTGAGATCTGCTGAACAGCCATGTGGTGGAGAGGCAGGTGAGGAATGCCACCGCAGATGCTACAGTTGAAGTCCAGATACAAGGCGGATCCTTTAATTCCCCGGACGGAGGATCCACTTCTGGGCAACTAGAAAGACTGTTTATCCGCATGTGTACTCCAGCCTCTTCTGTCCTATGTGAGAGGATTTTGTCAAAGGCAGGAGAAATTATTTCCAAGAAGAGGAATAGACACTGTAGAACAAATCCTCTTTCTGCATAAAAACCTAACAAAGTAGCCTTATATGCATTATATGTTTATTTTACCAGTTCATAAGCATTTTCACTGCCTAGTTCATAAGCACTTCTACCCCCAGGTCAAAAAATACATAAGAAACACACAATAAATATAAGGTACAATATGATATTATATAAGAGTATCTGTCCACTGTTTAGGTCCATAAGCACATGGAGGTAGGGACCTCATAGCACAAGCAAGCTATTATAAGATTGTATTGTACATTATTATATATGGTGTTTTTTTGTGTTATTTTTTTAATCTATTGTGTTTATAACCGTGAGGAAGTCATAAGCAAAGGGAGCCCACACCATGGGACATGTTAAAACAAAAGTTTTTTGATCAAAAATATTTACTAATCAAATAAACAGTACATTATTTTTTCACCCCAAAAAATACACAACGACTGCCCAATTTCAGACAGAATTGTCACATGATATTACACAGAAGCTGTCAACTCAACTCTGTAGAGTGCCCACCATAATGAAGCAGTTCATTTCAAGTTGTAGATTCAAGCTGCTCTTCATACATTCGGCCACTAGATGCCACCAAAGAGAGCTGTGTTGAAAAGCGTTGAGTAATGAACCCTTTTTCGATACAAGCTTCACTAGATGGAGCCAGAGATTTCCAGAGGGAGCATCAGATGTGTGTGAGAGAAGATCGCTGAGGCAGACCAGGTAAGACGGAGCAGCAGGTGGTTTCCAGAGAGAGTGCAAGTTAGTAGTCAGCAATGAGTCATGGGTTGGATCCGAAATTATCCACTCATTCCCTACTCCCTATATAAGGACCACTATATTGTGCACTTTATACGGTATAGGGGTGATTTCGGACACAGCCATAGTCTGAGCTTCGCTTATATGGTACCAGGTGAAGAATGACTGATGAATGGACACCAACTGCAGGTGTGGATCCTCAGGTGATTAACCAATCACTGTGCCCACTCCTATCCCGCACACTCACCATGCACACACCCACCTGAAGGTAAGGGAGAAAGGAGAAAGAGAGGGAGAACAGGAAGAAGCACTGCCACTAGCCCTGCCCTGAGGTGGAGGATGTGACAATTACACAATTAAGAATAGTAAAAAAAAAACTAAAAAAAAAAACCCAACAACAACAACAACAGGAATGTTATATCATGCATACCTAGATTTCAAGACTAAAGTTGCAGCCGGGGACAATTCACTCCTCCTGGCAAGCTCTCAATTTCTACTCAACTGGCTCCTGGGCCTGGCTTGTGATAACACAACTCACTGTGATACCCTTCTGCTTCCTGTTGATAAAAAAAAAAGCACATTTATGAGAATTTGTGTTTAACTAACAAATTACAGATGAACTTACATTCTGAGTAACAAAAATGACATAACTGAATTTCCTGGACTTAAATGGTTAAATGGTCGATCAAGTTACATAATTGATTGATTTAAGGGGCTCTCCTGGCAAAAGACAGTAAAACATTCCAAAGTATGTTTTTGTTAGTGTACAATGAGATGAAAGAATTTATGTTTTCGTTACCATAGGCTGCTTTCACGCATGCACTGAAAACCTGAACTCCTCATGCCTTACCAAATACAAACCTCCACGAGCAAAAAGGACGGCTCATTTCACCCAAAATACAGACAAAGCTGACGTTACAGTTGTGAACAAAACAGTGATTTCCGAAGCACAATTCCCGTGCTCTCCATCCGAGTGCCGCCCCTGGATGCTACATTTCTAGAGACTTGCCACTGAGTATTCAATAGAGAAGAAAATGGCCTTCCTATTTTTACATATAGTTAGCCCACAATCAGACAAGCCAACACGTTTAAAATACATTGTGGTGCATTTAAATAATTTAATATACTAACTGAGACAAAAGCTAATTATTACCAGATACTGCTCCACTACATTAATTGCTATGTTATTTAGTTCTGCTGTATATTAGCTCCACTAATTAACCAAGCACAAGTTAAATGCAAACATCACTAAACAGAGTGAAACAGGTAACAACCTGCACCAGTGGCACGTTACACACATTGAAATATTTTTAGCTCCACTTACTCTACTAATTTACCATGCAGAACTTACGATATAGCTTCACTAAATAAAGTAGAACAGCTAACGTTAGCGTAGCTCTCCTGCACAGGTAGCACTAGGTGTGGATGCCATTGTCTTTAATCTGGTCACCTTAGCCAACATGATTAAAACTTACATTAATTCACACGAGACTGAAACTCACGGATCAATCAATCAATTTACCTTTCACCCAAGCCCACACAGCTGCATCCCTGTGACAGACCACCCCTTGAGTCTTCTTTAATTAGCGGAGTCCCAACCGTTAACCAGTTCTTCTGTCCAAATGCACGTGTGGATTCAAACACAAACTACACTTTCTAATTTAAAAAAAAATTACTTAGTGTTTTCAAGTTTATGTGGAATGAGTGTAAAAGATGTAAATACAATAAGCAATTAAATAAAAGAATTTACTCTTCTTTCACAGTTCATTCAATACATGAAAAATCACTGAATCACAATGTTACAGTGTAATTTACTTTCACATACTTTACTAGACCAAAAAGTAATCTTTTCAGTTTTTTCACCTGCATCTCTTTTCTTGAACTGTTAGTAAATTACCTATTATATACATATTTATAAATTATTGTTAAGTAAGATGTAGAAATCAAAGTATTTCCAATGCACACCTTTATGTATCTATAAAGCTATGTATATCAGTAAGACTAACTAGAGGGCACATAGTTTTAGAACAACCCATCTCACCATCCTGCACTCACTCTGATAATAATGTAAATATGGGCAAGCACATTTTATATCTTCATTTTCCTTTGAAATAACTTGAAAATGTTGAAATTATTGGGTAAAATCTAAAGGCTGAGCATCAAGTTACTGTACTCAAAGCAACAACAGCAAACAGTCACAACAAACATTTCTGCTTCTGTCATTGACTTTTTTTTATTCGTTTCAATGTTCAGAAGTAAGAATGTGGAGTTTGTGGCGGTTCCCCATTCTCATACAGTGAGTAAGAATAGAGACTAAACTAAACACAAAACACAAAGAGGACATCATCAATAACAACATGCAAGCACGAAAACAATGCTTTTTGGAGTCAGTAATTTAATTTTGTCTGAAAATCTTGCACAAAAACATTCTAGTATAAGAAAGAAAAAATATGTCAGACATTTGGATGAACAAATTCATCTTTACAGTCTCAGAGTGATGTGTAGTATCTTTTATCAGCCTCACATTCTTATATCACTTGTTGTCATTTTTCTGGATCACAAAACTTCTCTGCTTTGTTACAATACACAATAGTAACCCTCCTCCACTCAATTTTTAATATATATATTTTTTAAATAAAATGCTTTATCAGATCTTGGAATAACTAACTGTTAACTACCCACACTGAGCCTTTTCTCTTTGTGCCTCAATGTTTGGAACCATTCATTGTCAGTGTTTTGTAGCTCCTCAGTTGTTCCAGGAAGCCAGGGTTTGGGGAGGCGGTGGGCCGAGCTGCTTTCACCAATGAGAGCGCGGCGTCAAAGGATTGGCCATCACATGACATCAGGTAGCCAATGATGACTGCTGGTGCACGTGACACGCCAGCGTTGCAGTGGACCAACACCACGCCCTTCTACGGGGAGAAACACACGGAAAATGTTAGTGTGGAAGCTGACCACAGGGGGACAGAAGATCTTTATAAAAAGAGAAAAAACACACAGTTTGAGCGCTATCTTCTTTTAAAGCCGCCCTGCTGGAAACATGTTGACAAACAGCTTCCTGTCTTGTGAGGGGAAAAATACTTTCCTGTTGTGGAGTTAAACTTCGAGAGATGGTATTGAACGTTTTCCCTTCGCTCCTCTGATTGAACCCTTTATGTAAAAGTAGCATTTGTAGCAGATGTGCACTCTGCAAATCTTCTATCGATTCTTGACCTCATGTAGACCTCATTGTAGGAGGACAGGCAAGCACTCCCTGTACCTTTCAAGGCCAGATTAAACCAAGGTACCGAAGTATCTTTGTTTCCCTTTCACTCATATATCTGGATGTGGCCCCCACTGAGGGAGGGTATAAGGCCTAAGGTGTGAGAGAAATCCTTAGAACTGATGCTGGCATTTCGTGCACAAACTGCTGGTCTGTTAGCGTCACTTCTCCTGATCAGTGTGTCTCTTTGTGTCAGGTTCCTCATCCTACATCAACCTTTTCCAGAGCAACAAATTGCCATCATGAACAGGATCTCAACAGAACGATGACTGGTAAGTGCAAATTTTAATTCTTGCAAACTGCCATGTCTGAGTTTGACAAGATTCTGTTTGTTTCTATAACTGCAATGTTCTGTTTTTATCTGTGTTTGTGCGTGAGTGGAAAAGAGCGAATGAGAGAAGTATGGGTGAAAATCAGTCCAAAGCAGGAGAGGCTCAGCGCCTAAATGCTGCTACTAACATATCTAACAGGCAGCAACAATCTACTTCACAACCGAGACAGCACAACCACACACACACACACACACACACACACACACATTCTGGACCTAAATCAGACACCCCAGAGGTCAGAGTTAAACCTGACCCCACTGTCAGAAAAACAAGTGCGAATGATCCAAATTCAGCCACCTATTGTGAATGCTTTAGGGAAACATCGGCAGGACAAGTAGGGAGAGCCAAAGGCTGGTATTTTGTCTCACCATTTACCGCTTTAATGAGCCAGTGGACAAAAGGAGAGTGGCCATACCAGGGTTCATTCGAAGCAGAGAAGGTTGACCTTATAGCATCAAAGTCAAGCAAACACTTTGGTGATCCAAAGTGGGATTTTGCATACATGAGTGAGTGTGCAAATGTTTTGTTGAACTGTGCAGAGGAGACACGCGAGTGGAGAAAAAGTGAAAAGAGTTGTGACTGGCTGGATGACGAATGGAAGAGAGTGATGTCAGTTCCATCTATCTCTATTTTACTTTGATTTATCTCTGTTAAGTTTTCATGTTTTCATTGCATCTGCAGCACATGTTAGGAATGAACTGAAAAGGGAATATTTAACAGATTGTCAGCAAAAATTTCCGATGCCAGTGCTTAAAGCCTTTACGCAGTAACATAGGTACTTGGAATATTATTACAGGTGTATTAACATGTACTTTGGTATGCAACGTTTCCATAGTCCAAGTAACTCAGTAGATTAACTGAAGTATTGCACAATTTCGAGGTACTTTCCCGCTCTATGCTACTTTATCCTTCCATTCCACTACATTTCTGAGGGACATATTGTACTCTGTACTCCACTACATTTATCGCCCAGATTTAAGATAAAGATCTGACACAATGGACAATACAACAAGCCTTTCAAATCCAACACATTGTTAAAGATTAAATAAGTGGATTCCACAGTGTGTTTTCGGACTCATATTTCTCTGACAACTGGTGTTTTTTTTTGCCAAATTTCTCACGTTTATTTCGATAAATGTTCCAATGATCCAATATCTCAATGAAAATCAAAGTTTAGTTGTTTTCTGATTGTCCTTTTACATACTGCTGGGGAAAAAAAAAGAAAAAAACAAGATGTTGGGAGAGAACAGGACTTTATCATTGAACCTGTGTTACTAAATGTGTCCACATATTTAAAAAAAAAAAAAACAACAACAAAAAAACACATTTGTATACTGGCAGGACATAGAATTATCTTTTACAATGTGTTTCTAATCTATAATCTTGTCTAGAATAATTTATAGTGACTTTCCTGAGATGCACCCATTAAAATAATGTATTTGCATGTGTGTGTGTTGTTGGGATTCAAACATGAGCTTCATGCTCGATGAACACTGGATGTCTCTGCACTCCAACAGATAAGAGTTGTTTCTTTGACCTCAACCTGTCGAGCTGAGCGTCGCAGCACAACAAGCTGTTTAGTGAACAGGTGCCTTGTTTGTTGCTGTCTTTAGATGCACATTAGCGTCTCAATTACAACCCATGTTTTCATTCTCATGAAATGTTTCCACCCCAAGCTGTGTCCCAGTTATCAGGCTGCACGCCATGGCCTGATAACCAACAGTAAACAAGTCCCTTTTCTGAATGATCACAGTTTTCCATTAGGACAAAAAAAATAAAATAAAATAAAAAAATAATTAAAACCAACCAAAACAGAAGTTCAAAAGTCATATTTGGCTTGGAAAAGATGTGAAAATGTATGAGTCAAACTGAAAAATTGAGGTGCAAAGGTTTTAATCTGGAAACTGGAAAAGGCTGTGAAAAATACAGGAAAAATCTTCCATAAACATTTGGGCTTGGTCTAAATTCTTTGGAATTTTTAATAAAAAACAGTTTATGTATCTGTGCTGCAGGGCGTGAACTCTGTCACATGATGCTGTTGTCATGACCGCGTCCATATCTGACGGCCATTACCAGCCAGATGGCCTGCTGGGTTATCTGAGCCGGTGTTTCAGTCTAAAAGCATCAGTTTGATTATCAGGGCTGGAATTACCACATATACACACACAGAAACATATCATAATGAGCACACACACTCTTCCTGTAATCGTACACTTTGTGTGTGTGTGTGTGTGTGTGTATGTGTGTGTGTGTGTGTGTGTGTGTGGTGTCATGTTAAGGTGAGCTGCAAGCTTTGCTGCTAAAAGCTTGTATGACACTGAGATCTGATCTGCGTCCACCTTAATAAAACATGAACAAAACTAAACATCTATTATTTAGAGCTGAGGGAGAGGAGAGGAAACAAGGAGAGAAAACAAGGAGAGGAAATGTAAAAATGTGTTATATCTGCCTCCTCCTGTACTCACTTATCTTTATGAAATCATTTGTTGAGGTTTCACCTGATCTACTTATTTAGTTTAACCCGAGCAGCTCCTTGATTTTCAGCTTCAAGTTAGACTTAAAAACTTGTGAACTTTGAGGTGCATTCAGGGCTGTTCCACTGAAAAATACCAACCTTTAATTCTTTGCAAAATTGGTGACGTATAAACATGATCGGGCCGCCGCTATAGCTCAACTGATTGAGCTGGCGACCCATGTACTGGGGCTGTAGTCCCTGATGCAGCAGCCACAGGTTCGAGTCCAATCATGGCCCTTTGCTGCAGTTCCTTCCCCCATTCTTCTCCCCCACTTTCCTGTCTCTTTCTTGACTGTCCTATATAATAAAGGCAAAAAGGCCAAAAAACCCCAAACAAACAAAAAAAACCCATGGTGGTCCTGCCCTGCATAAAATGTAAACAAATCAAGCCTGGAGAGAGCAGTGAAGAAGTCCACTAAGAAGTTTATCTGTCAGTGTCAGCATCTGCCGGTTCACTGCAATACGGTTTTTGGGCATTGGCAGAGTTGTTTATGCTAAAATGTGCAAACACTGTCGCATCACAAACATGTACAGATGTATAAACTGAGCACACCCTTGTAAAATCATACACTCAGTAGCTGTGACCTCAGTTACATCTCCAAGACTTTTTAGTGATTAGGTCTTATGGTGGAGATTGGGCCAAAGTGTACATGTGGTAGAGACAGAAGAGAGCTGCAACTTTGTCCAAGTGGTCACTTGCAGTATTGCCACAACAACAACAACAACAACAACAACAACAACAACAAATCCTGCAGCCCAAAAAGTGTTTTCCCCCATAAATAACCACTATAAAAGAGAGAAGTCTGTTGACAGATTTCCAACTGTGATAACTCTTTCTGTTATGAATCTTTAATATGTAGAAACATAGCCGCGTTTATCTCCACAGCTGTGTCAGCACTAGAGAATGGTCTACTGCACCTCATTATCATTCTGCTATACAGAGAAACATTTTCTGGTTTGGTTGTGTTTCTTTAAACACATCACAGTCAATGAGCCCAGGATGTAGCAACAGTGTCCCTAAAAAATAGCAACGGGGAAATTGTTTTGTTGGAATATTTGAATGCCACCAAGAAGACTGGCCTTACTGGACAGGTCAAATGCACGGCAAAACTTGAAATTTTCAGTGTGTTTCCTGCAGTGAAATGGTAATACACAAATAGTGGAAGGGAAGAGCAAAGCCATGTGAATTATTCAGCAGAAATGGCAGATTATATCTGAAATCTTCATCCAGTGAGTCAGACTACTGATGGTAAAACCTCCTCAAAGTCTGGAAAAGTGAGTTCCATTTTCATGAAAGTCTATGGAATGAACAGAAACCCACTTTTCATGTGCAATTAATCTGGCACACTGGCTCTTGAAAATGTTTTTCTACATAAATGAACGCTTTGTTTTACAGCTGAGCGGCTAATTAGCATCCAGACTGCAAACTGAGGTCAGTGGTGCAACATTTGTTTGGCAGCTTGTTAAGCTGAGGTTCATGTTTCTAAGTCAGATAAGAAGGAGACTTTAGCAGGAAAGATTAAGTGTGTTGTAGTCCAGACTCAGGCTCAATGTGATTGTCCAGCCGTCTGGCACGACAATGACGTTATCACTTCATGCACACGTGGAATAAAATGAAGCCAACTGATTGGCGTTAAGACAAGATACAGATAGTGAAACAGTATTCTGACAAATGAATGCAATGAAAGGGGGATCCATCAGGAAACCTCTACTATAAATTATAAATGTCTCCCTTCTGGTTCCTGTTTTTTCTCAGAGTTGACTTACAGAGTATTTTGTTCAGTAGGACTTGATGCCTGTCAGTTTGCTTTTTGAGGAACACAAGCAGAGCAATTAGTTTCTCTGCAGTGTCTAACATCCTTTGCTGTGTTTGCAGATGGGATGCTTGAAGATAGTAGAGCTGAAACTATTTCTCAAGTAATCATTTGGTTTGTGAAAGTCTGTTTTGATTCTCAAACATTTTCAGAACAAATTCCAGCTTTTTAACTGCGAACAATTCCTCTTGCTTGTGGTTTTCGGACACTTCTTTAGACATTTAGCTTTACTTTGACACCTTTTATATGTGAAATGACAAACTACTTAACTAATAAATGAATAATAAGTTGATGAATATGGTTGTGGTGATCGGATAACGTATTACCTCACTGTGGGCCTGTTGGATGAAGTCACAACACTCCTGGATGTGAGGAAGCAGATCAGTGTCGGGATGATCCAGAATACTGACGGTCTTATAGATGAATAGGTCCGGAAACACATTCTCCACCCCAAAGGCAACATTCAGGACATGAGTTACCTTAAGAAGAAGAAATAAAAGAAGATGACAAAGAAAAAGAGATTTCACACTGTCACTATCTTCCCAAAGGGAAGGTTGTAGATGTTGCAGAGCAAAACTGATGACATAAAACCTATTCAATAACATATTTAAATATCAGATTCTACATTTTGTTTTGCTTCAGTTAAAATACTGATGGCACTATAAGTCAGTGATAGGTAAACAGAGACCCATGGACCAAATCTGGCCCACCAGATAAAGTATTTGACATACACTCATCAGCCAAAACATTAAACCCACTTATGGCGATGTGAATAGTACTAATTACCTTGTGATATACAAGGGTTGATCAAACAGTTTCATGACGCATAGCACGAACAGTAACTGTCATGAGTCAGGAGGCCAGGTGACAATGGTCTATCTACATCAGGACCTGTGTTACACATGTTTAAATGTGCAGGTATGCATCAGTGATTTATCCATGGAGCTCAAAATGGAGCAGGGAAGAAAACATCACATTCTCAGATCAAGTTTATTGTCATTCTACTGTACATACACAGTAGTTACAGTTGTAGTTCTGTCAGCAGGATGAGCCATCCTTCATGTAAAGTATCTTCACTGGTGTAGAGAGGTGTGTCTGCAGCTACCACAAGAGAAGAGCAGCTTCTTATAGTGGAATAGCTTGAATACTGGATGAGGTGCATCATGTCAGGAGAATCAGGTACACACTTGTTGGTTTCTTCAATATTCATGTAGTTGTACACTGTAAGGTCATCCCCCAGAGTCACATTGTCAAGGCAGAGTTCTGCTGTAACATCCTGAGGTGTTTAAAGGGAGAATATTCGATATTGCTTTTATCCTCTGACGGCATTGCTGTTTCAAGCCACAGACACATACTGAACATGCAACTATTTCACATATTATTGTGATACAAGTACACTAACTTAGATGATCCTGGCTTCAGTAAACACATGAGCTCCTTAAGCTCTGGTCATTAAGCATCATAGAAGACTTTGTCATGGTACCCCTTCACTTGCGAAACCCCACAATTCTCTCTACTTGCCAACACAGAACTGTACTCCTCCTCAGGTCGCTACAGAATTAAATTATAATATTAAACAATACAGTGCATTGGAGCAGTTTAAGTTGCTTCAATGCACTGTACACACCATCCCAGCTTTTGATTTTTTTCTCTTTTTTTTGCCACAGCAACACAATCAGCACTCTCCATCTGCTCAGCTCACCAGATTTGGCTCCTTGGAATTTCTTCCCTTTTCCCAAAATGAAATTCATGTAAAAGGGTTGCCATTTTGACATAACGTAAGATATTCAACAATTAAAAATGTGTGTGAAACAGGTCATTGTGTCATGTGACATCCTGATTCATGACAGTTACTGCTCGCACATGTTCACCTATGCTCATACTTCGTGCATGCACTCTGTCTACAGTCTTGGAACTTTTTGATCAATCCTCCTACGTGCCTGCATTCCCTCCATGCCATAGTGAAGTGGCACTATGGCACACATCATTGAAATTAGCTGCATTAGGACAGTTTTACAAGGAAAAACTAACTTTGAAATCACTTCTATTGCCCAAAGTACAATTTCTATGAAGATGGTGAGTGAGCAAGTAACTTTCAGCCTGAGCACTGTTTTTTTATTTGTATTTCTTGGCATTTTTTGGGTGAACCTTTCCTTTAGATGAGTCCCTGCTCAAAGTTATGATTAACTGGAGCAGCGGAATATGAATATACAAGGTGTGCCAGAAAAGTTTCAGGACTGGTGTCACAAAAGATATTTTTCAAATCCAAACTGCAAACTACAAGTTTTCCCCTTCAAAGTAATCCCCCTGGAGCATGATATGTACAATAAAGGCCTTTATTATACATATCTATGTCTAACACACTTCCTCAGCCTTCTCTGTCACGCCGCCATGCACTCCTGGAAGGATTCTTCCAGGATCCTCTGCAGCTCCGTCGTCACAGCCATCTTGATGTCATCCACGTTTTCAAAACGGGTCCCCTTGATGACCTCCTTGAGCTTGGGGAAGAGGAAAAAATCCCACAGAGCCAGGTGGGGTGAGTAGGGAGGTTGCTTCAGCACTGCGATGTTGTTCTCAACCAGGAACTATTGGATGCTCAGGGCATTGTGACCAGGTGTGTTGTCATGGTGAAGCAGCCACGACTTGTCCTGCCACAACTCTTGCCTCTTCTCACGCACTGAACGAAGCAAATGCTGCAGGATCTCTTTGTAGATGTGCTGGTTGAAGGGGAAAACTCCTAGTTTGTACTTTGGTTTTAACATATATCTATTGTGACACCAGTCCTGGAACTTTTCTGACACACCTCGTATTTTGTGTGGGTTCAATTGTCCCATATACACTTAATTGCTGAATAGAAACTCACACGTTACAATCTCATCCCCTGATGTTTTATCCTGATTATGTTGTGGGGCTGTTTTGATCTCAGGTTACGAGCTCAATCAGGCATGACGCTTCAGAAATGACATCTGTTTCATTTCTTGTCTTCATGCTTGTTTGTACATTCAGTGACAGACTTTGTTGCTCTGTAGAAACCAAACTGCTCTCCTCTGTGATGTTATTGTCTTGTTAGTTCAGTAGAAAAATAAGCTCACCTTGAGTTTTCTCAGAGTGCCAAAGTCATGTGCAGCATCTTGAGAACCTGCACATACACACAGAAAACAAGTTAAATCAGGTGTTTAGTTGAGGATTTGTCTTTAACCTGCTTTGACTCTGTCCTTGGTGCTGAACCAAACAGCTGCTGTGCTGCATCTCCTGCAGGTCACAGGGTCATTCTTGTTCTACCTGTGAACCAGTGAGCTCTGTTGGGTCACGTCTCCCCCTGTCCTCCCCCATGGCTGGGCTCATGTTACCAGCCGTTCGAGCTCAGCGGTTATCTGTGGACTGGAGGTGACATCCAGGACAGGGCAGACGGGGAGAGGATTGCAATATACAGTGCTGTGCAAAAACCAAAGTCCTTTCCATGATTGTTGATTTAACTGCTAAAAACCTGTGTTTTTGCATCAAAGTTACATATTTAGAAGATAACTCCAAACAAACCTGTCAATTCAATATCTGCAGTAGTTTAAAGACTGAAAATATTAAATTGTATTTTCATTCTTTGGCCAACTGTCTGTCAATTCACTTTTTATTTACTTAAGTGATTGGATACACTCATTAACAAAAGTTCCATACATTTGTAAAGACCATGTATATCATGCCAGTCTTTGACTTCTATAACTCTTAATTTTCTATTATGGAATGATTCAAACACGTGTCTTTGTCACAAACAACAATAATGCATTGTAGTTTTTATTATAGGTCTTCTGGAAATATGACAAGAGCTACTGTGTCTAAAATATACATACAGCAACTTTAGTTATAATTTTTTGATGTACAAAGCTGTGTTAATTAAATCTTATTAGTAGCATTGCCTCTTAACTTCTCATGGGTGATTACTGTCAAGCATGGTGGTGGCAGTATTATGCTGTAAGGCTGTTTTGCTGCCAGTGAAACTGATGCTTTATACAAAGTAAATGGAATAATGAAAAAGGATTACCTCCACATTCTTCAGAAAAACCTAAAATCATCAGCCAGAAGGCAATGACTCCAAACTGGTATAAAAAAAAATGGAAAAGAAATGACTAAGTCTGATTAGGGTGAAGGTTTTACACTGTTCTTCCCAAAGTCCTCTCTTACACCCCATCAAGAACCTGTGGACTGTGATGAAGAAACAAGTCTGTGTCAGAAAGCCAACAAATTTAATTTAAGTACACCAAAGAGGAGGATCAAAGATACAACCAGAAGCTTGTTGAGGTGAAAATGTCCAAGGGACATTTAATCAAAAATGAGTATTGCTGTATATATGTTTTTGATTCAGCAGATTTTGTCATATTTGCGGAAGGCCTTTAATAGGTCCATAGGAATCGCTGGAAACTCAAGATTGCCATGATATACATGGTCTTTACAAGTGTTTGGAAAATTTTGTGTATGACTCTTATTTGCAATAAAGCCACAACTGTAAATATTATTGGATTCTAAGTCTCCTTTTCTCCATCACCAGGTCAGAGTGCCAATACTCAACAAGGAGCTTCAGTTGCCAAACTGTGGCAGAAATCTTTTCTTGAACACAACAATGCTACACTAATTTTGATTGCAGTAGTATGAGGCAGCCTCCTCAGTGAATGTTTCCTGTCGGCAACCTTTGAAAAACAATGACAGTTGCATTTTAATACAGCCTGGTCTTGGTGCAAAGACCTCCAGGATGAAGTTGATCTTTTCAGTCAGTCGTAATTCGGCTTCTCACCCAGTAGCAGGAAAGGCTTGATGATGCCGACCTGCACGTCCCAGGAAGTGTCAGGGACGTATCCCAGCATTTTCTCCGGGGGGACAGGGTCCTCCACCACAGTGATCGTGGAACCCTTCCAGGTCTCGATAATGCGACGGCCACTCAGCGACGTCACTCTGGTGCACTGCTTCCTCAGTCGCGTCCGAGAGAAACTCTGGATTTCCTCTGTCAAAGACTGCATGATCACACCTGAAAGATAAAAGTAGTCAACTAATGTTTATCTGAAAAACCTAACTTGCAAAAAAGCTTTTATAACTCTATCGAAGAAAATAAAATGTACACAGTTTTGCAGGTCATTTGCTGCTAAAAAAGTAGTCCCTAACAAACACACCATTTTTTCCTGTTCTTGTTACATTTTCTAAAAACTACAGTATCCATGTATTGGGAAATTCCTGAGCCTTTTTAGAAAAGCAAAGGAAACTTGTTGTTCCTTCAGGTTTTGAAATAGAGCAGCAAGGGGAAGCAGTGGTTACCACTGTCACCTCACAGCTAGAAGAACCCTTGTCCAGGTTGTCCCCTGCCTTCACCCTGAGTCGGCTGGGATAGACTCCAGCCCCCCGTGACCCTAGTGAGGATTAAGCGGTGTACTGATGATGGATGATGGATGGTTTTGAAATATTTGAATAAAAAAAATTTCTTGCCACCGTAAAAATAAATAAGCACTTTAAAATAAAATCCATCAAATAGCTGTTCAAATCTGGGGGGAAAAGTGGAATATTGTAATATTCAAAAACTGTAAAACTGGTGAAAAAATGGCAAATATCTGTTAAGTAATGGATTTTTAATTGATTTAAATACAGTAAAAGTGGGTAATTTTATCATGAAAGAACAAATGCCTATTTGTAAAAAAATATATAGCAATAATTAAATCATAATAATAATAATAATTAAGCATTTTTTTGGTGCTGTTTGTTGGTTTGATTTGTGTTACAATTAATGTGTAAATGATTAGTTTTTCAGTGATTTTACTAAATGTTATCTGTAATTTAACAAAACAGTAAAATTTGGCAAAATAACAGTTACATTTTTAAAAAAAAAAAAACTAAACAAAAATACAGTTAAAAAATGGTTCTGTCCTTTAAAGCAGAAGAACATAACCAAACCTAAGCTCCTTGAAACTCAATTTTTAATGAAAGTAATTCTCTTTGTGCCTGGCTTAACAAGAAATCTCTGGATCACTTACAAGTGGTTATGAACACTGCTGTTAAGCTTTTGATCAACTCTTCTAAAAGGTTTCAGATGACGTTGATCTTGATTTCTTTTCTGGCTCCCCACTAGGTTCAGAATCCTGCCCAGGTCCTGCTGATGGAGCTCGGACCTGTATTACCTCCACAGCAGGTCTCTGAGGTTTTCTGACCAGGTGATGCAACTGTTCAGACTCAACTTTAGATCTTTGAACACATGTGCTCCAGCACGATGCAATAAGAATAAACTGATACAATTAAGTGTTAACTAAGAAAATTAAGTGTTTGGTCCTCAAAATTCAAAGTTTAAACTAAAACCAATGCCCATGCACATCAGGATGAACCATGATAACTTCTGTGATCCCTTAAATTTTCTCAGTGCATCTGCAAATTATTATTATGCAGATATACACATAAAAATGTGCAATATTCAGTTTTTTTCAGCTTTGTCTCCACTCCAGTTTTTGTGGGTTTATTCTTACATTAATTAGCAAAACTCCTACGTTTTTATATACTTGTGCCTGTTATTAATGCCTTTGACTAAATAAACTTCTGCATACTTTCATGACTTCGTTGTTGAGTATATCCTGATGTTGATCTTGGCTTCTCAATGAGTTTTTACAAATTACTGTGGTACACTGGTAACTCTAACAAATTAGAATGACCATTGCAATGAAACTGATATTAAAATTTTTCACATAGTAGTTTGAAGTTCATTAAACTTAAATACAAACCAGTGCGACACATATTTACATATTTTATCCACCTTGCTTCATGAGGTACTTTAATTGTTGTGGGACAATACAATAAGAACATTCAAAGCTCTATAAGACAACATGTGGCGTTGACACGGTACCTGTTTTTTCACGTGTTCAGCTTTAGTCTGACTCAGCTCAGAATGGCTTCTTGCTCCGCTGATGGCAAATAATCCACTTTAAATTCAAGAAACAAGAGAAGCGAGAAGATCTGGGTCAGTTTGCAGAAGAGAAACCCTTCATCCTCTTCTCTTTCAGTAGATGTCCAGTGTGGTTCAGGTTCTTACTGCTAAACTAAACTTGGTCCAGACCAGATCCAGAACAAATCCAGCTTGACCAGCTCTGGTCCTGCAGTCTAAACCAGACCGACTCTGCTGGAGGTAAACTGCTGCTGCTGCCTCTTCTGCTGTGTAACATGAAACTTGTTGCTGGTCTGTGTTTCATCAGAGCTCTGCAACACATCAACCAAGAATATAACTGACAAAACAAAACCTGTCCTAAAGTCAATTAAAATGTCTTTATTATTTATGATTATTAAGTCATTGGGCATGTCTTGTCACCAGCGCTTATTCTTTAATCTCACAAACACATAGAACAAAACATCAGCTTTTCAATGCAATAATATCACAAAATTACAACAATAACATCAGAATATTTACAAAGAAATGGTTAGAATATGGGCTGCAAGGTGGAGCGGTGGTTAGCACCGTCACCTCGCAGCTGGAAGATCCACAGTTTGCATCAGGGTTAGGACGCCTGGGATCTTTCTGTGTGGAGTTTGTGTGTTCTCCCTGTGCTCTCAGGGTTCTCCAGCTTCCTCCCACAGTCCAAAAACATGTTTAAGTTAATTGGTGATTGTAAATAGTCTGTAGGTGTGAATGTGAGTGTGCTTGGTTGTCTGTCTCTAAGTGTAGCCCTGTGATAGACTGGTGACCTGTCCAGGGTGTCCCCTGCCTTCACCCTGAGTCAGCTGGGATAGGCTCCAGGTCCCCATGACCCTAGTGAGGATTAAGATATATGTATGTATATATATGTATAGATAATGGATGGATGGATGAATGGATGGTTAGAATATATGACTGGAGCAGTTGGCGTTCGGCAGTGTTTCTAAAAGGTCCACTAGAGGGAGCCACAGCTTTGCTTTTATTTATTAAAAGCTGCATCTCTTAACACAACAGAAGTCAGTGAAGCTGTTTAAAAAACACACTTAACGTATATATAGCATAATTCACTTAATTCACCTCTTTTTCATTCATATATCTGTGTATTTGTGCAGCAAATATCAAAATCAACTGTGCAGACTAGTATTATAATACCAGAGGGCTGTATTACGAAGCAAGTTAGACATAGCCAGGCTTTCTTTGTGTAAGTCAATTTGGCAAAAACTGAAGCTCCAGTCAGAGATTATGTGTTTCACAAAGGTGGTTATAAACTTTCTTTGTCAACTCAGACTTTCTGCTTCAGACTCTGTGGGAGTTCACATAAAAAGACGCGTCACGTGACTCTTCTTCTGCATATAATGAAACGATCGTGTGCAGCTGCTTCAGTCAATATGCTGTTTTAATGGTGAACAATGAGGAATATAAATATTTATGACCGTAAAAGGTGCTGCTACTGCAAATGGTACAAGACAGAAATGCTGGTGGAAAACTGTTAAACATGTTAATATATATTTTACCGATGCAGCCGCTTATTTCCAACTGACAGCTGCACATTAAAGTTAAACTTAACTTAATGTAAAACAAACATGATCTTGTATTGAAGTGCATTTAGGTCTGACACTGTGCCATAATGCAGGATCCATCCATTATCTATCCATCCATCCATTATCTGTACACCGCTTTATCCTCACGAGGGTCGTGGGGGGCTGGAGTCTATCCCAGCCGACCTAGGGCGAAGGCAGGGGACACCCTGGACAGGTCGCCAGCCCATCGCAGGGCCACACTTAGAGACAGACAACCAAGCACACTCACATTCACACCTACGGACAATTTAGAATCACCAATTAACCTAGATATGTTTTTGGACTGTGTGGGAGGAAGCCGGAGAACCCGGAGAGAACCCACACTGCACAGGGAGAACATGCAAACTCCAAGCAGAAAGATCCCAGTGCCCCCACTGGGACGTGAACTGGGGACCTTCTTGCTGCGAAGCAACAGTGCTAACCGACTGCGCCACCTTGTAGCCCCATAATGCAGGATATCACTCAAGGGAAGGGAAGGGAAATTAATGCTATTGTCATGACCCCCCAGCCTCAGCCCTTGCCTGTCTCCCTCTCCCTCTCTTCTCCCTCCTTCTCTCTACCTCTTAGGCCTTGTCCACACATAGCAGAGTATCTCACAAAACTAAGATATTTTTCTACGATTCGGCCCTCTCATCCACAAGAAAGCACAGATTTATGGCACTAAAACGATTCTTTCAAAAAACCTGGTCTCTCCCAGGCTGTCAGAGCTATTTACACTCAACTTCTCTCCATTACTTAAAGAAATACAAGATCAATTCCTCCGATGGACTAACCTCCCCATTCAGATCACAGGCAGAATTTCCATAGTCAAAATGTCTATCCTTCCCAAAATAAACTACCTACTCTCAATGGTGCCTGTACAACCCACTACTGCCTGGTTCAAATCACTCCACACATCAATAAGTACATTTTACTGGAAAAACAAATGCCCTTGCATCAAACTTACAATTTGACAAAAACCAAAACTACAAGGCGGCCTCAGTGCACCAAACTTCTACAACTATTCAATAGCTATTCAACTACAGTATATTTATAAATGGATCCATTCCGACACATCAGATCAAAACTGGATAGACACTGAACAAACCATTTGCAAAAAGGTAAAAACCACAGACCTACCATTTCTAAACTGATCAATAAAGAATAACCTATTCTTTAAAGCACCAACAACAGCGACAGCTCTGACAGCCTGGTGGAAACTTCACCAAATGTCAAATACTCCTCTTGTATCAACAAATCATACACCAATCTGGAATAACCCTCAATTTATAAGCAACAAGAAACCTCTATATTTCCTCTCATGACCAGACAAAGGCATATCTCACTTGGGTGACATATTTACCAACAACACTATGAAATCATTTTCTCAATTGGTCCAGGAATATGGCATCAGGAGAGAGTGCTTCCTTGAATATCTACAACTCAAGCCAGCTATCCAAAACAAAATAAAAAATCTTAAAACA